TTCTTACCTGGAAACTGGCATTAAATATAGTGGACATAAAATTAACTATAAAATCGAAGCATCTAAATAGAATTTTGGAGTATTTCATAAACTATGAACATTCGCCCTTAACAGCCAATAGGTGGGACCGGGGAATGCAGCCAACGCTAGTGCTAACTTGGTTGGTAGTAAAGTACAACCGATAGCTGATCAAGTGCATCATAGATTTCATCCAAAGCTTTTATATTTCTATACTTTTTCCTATTTGCATAATGTAATTTTGGAGCTTCATGGGCTCTGTTGCCTCCTTCATTACATTACCAATTTCCTCCAAAACAGATTAATTTTAGCGTCTTTTGCAAAAGGTTTCGCCTTAGTGTCAGGATATTAGCTTTCAAGACTTTGCTTAATTAAATTACACATTTGATGAAATTGATATGGCTGATTGATCACTAAAACACACTGCTAGTCTACACTCCTGATAGTCTTTGATTATTTTTCTCCTTTCTCTGAAAACTTAAAGAGGTCATTTGCGGAGATCCACACTGTGGAAAAGACACCAATGATCATGTTTTGATGATGCATGTGTTGCTCTTTGGCACCCAGTATACTCCAGTATACAGGCCATTGTGTGATATTGTTCTTTCTGGTTCTATCAGTGTTCTTTATTCAGGTCCCTGTGGAGAAGGTTTCTCCTTTTTTCAATACTTCTCTCACAGTCTGTCCAAACATCACCTGGTTGGTTGCATCACCAGAGTCCAGAGACCAATTGGTGAGTGAGCTCATTAATGCACTGAATTATGGAGGGAACACTGCCAGTACAACTATGAGGTCCATTGATATGTCAGATTAGCTGTTTGGCCAAATATGAATAATGGATCTCTGACAGACTTTTAGGTCTCCCCGTTCATGGTTCTTAGTCACTGCTGAAATCATTGTTTCCCCCTACTGGCATGGAGGGAAAGAAACACAGAAGGAGAATTCTTGTTGTGTGCACTTGTTGTGCCAGCTTCTTGTGAAGTAAATTTAAAATGGAGGCAGAGTGAGGCTTGTAGGATGTAATAGGTTTTTTTTAAAAGGCTAAGGCTGTTTTAAATAAAGGTTTTGTGAAAAGGTTAACTTAAATTTCTCTCCTTTTTCCACAGTAGGTCTAGGGTTTATTCCCACCAGATGTGTTTTGGAGGAAAACATTGTATCTGGTACTTTAGATCATCAGATTCAGTAAAAGTCATAAAGTTTTTTCTCCTCCTTTGTAAAGCAGGCCTGGTGTTAGTCATACCTGTTAAAGATCAACTGACAAACCAGTATTCAATTTTAAAATGTTTTTTTGCAGCGTGTGTTCAATCATACTGAGTAAAAGAACAGCAATAAACAAAATATAAAAGTGAAATAATCTTGTTCAACTTTTGGCTATTGAAAGAATCTTAAATGTGGACTGTAGTGTTATTCATCATGATTTATTGTATTGTTTGCCCGACAATTATATTTTAGAATAAGAATCTGATCTGTGAAGACAAATCTGGCATCTGGCAGTCTGGATTGTTAGATTCAGTGTTTATGTAATCTAATATTAAGATTTCAACCCAACATTAGTTAGATTAAATGCTTTAGAAAGGGTGGATCCCATCAGGCGGTTGCCAGAGAGTGGTGCTCACTGCTACAACTAATCTCACATACTACTGGACCCATCAGCCCAATATTTTTTGTGCACATTTATGACTGTATGCTCAAGGACCTCTTGTTGTTGCAGTGATTCACAATTTTTGAGAAACCTATTTAATTGATAGTCGTAAAGCTTAGACTTTTGTCTTATCAGTGGTATTCGCCATTTTACAAAATGCATTATGACGCAGCAAAAGGCCTAATCTGTTACAGGCCGCATTTTGGCCTTTGTCATTGCTCAAAAACTGACATCCATAGAAAAGTGTGGTCTCATTATTAACCGGAGTATCTGCAGCTTAATTTGATAACCAATATGTTATGTTATGGCACATCAGAGATGGATGAATTACTGTTTTTGATATCTTTGCTGCCATATTGACTGTAAGGGAGCTGGATGGGACAACTGAGTGAGATTCAGCTCTTCTTTGTTCAGGAGCGGAGAGGTAGGGAAGTCTTATTTTGTGGGGTATGGTACAATAAAATGTTCTAAATAAATAACAATGTTTAAATTCAGATTTTTGGACAATATCCCGTTAATTGTTTCCTTATTAAGTTTATACAGCGAACCCAGGACGGTAGGTTACAATACCTATTCTATGCATCTTAAAGAAAACTGACACTTTGCATACATCTAAGAAAATGTACACTATACAAAAACACATTCCCCCTTCCTTCCACTAGTCTCGTGCATACACACAGCCTGCCCTGCATTCCCTGTTCCCCACCCACATGCCTCCAGACACACCTGGTGGAGATCATCCTCTACTGAGTGCACTCTTCTAGTAATGTATATGTGATCAGGTGGAGATGTGTGTGTCTGTTGTTAAGGCAAAGGTGGGTGCATGTGAGATAATCTAAAACGCTCTCATTCTCTCTCATCAGCTGTAATGATCAGAGCTATGAGGATTAAGTACCAATGTCCCAGTAAAGCAGCTTTGCACAGCCAAATGTGGGACCACTGGCTCTCCTAAGCTGCCTAATTTGCTCACACAGAAGACGCTACAGCGCCCTCATATTAGATTAAAGGCACAGGGATGGTGTGGAGTGCCTTGTTGTGGCCAGCAGAAGAACTGCAGGAGGACTCTGCATGGACAAATTAGAAGTAACTGAATCAACACAGGCACATTATTAAAATTTGGTTCTGGTTGTCGCTGTTTTTATGGCATCTTGTTTTAACTTAATTTTAACCATCATTGGTTTAAAAACATCTCGCCGAAGGATTGCAGTTGAAAATGATGCTGGCTAGCATATTTACCAAAATGTTATCTAATGTTGTAAAATGAAATAAAATGGATTTGCAGTATTTCATGGGTAGTAACAGACAAACGATGCATTCCTGCTTCCCCCTGTTTATATACTCTCAGGCCAAGGATGTATCTCAATGTCACAGGGAAGAAGAAACAGGAATTGTGCTTAAATAGGTCATTCACAAGACCCAGTGCATGACAAGCAATACACCGGAAAGAGGACTTTTTGTGGTCACAGCCTTTCCCCCACATCATTAAGGATATTGTAACTATAGTGATTAACATCAATAAGAAAGAGAGAGAGAGAGAGAGAGAGAGAGAGAGAGACGGGGTGAACATGTGACAGTGTAACTGTGGACTCAAGAGGAATTCAGAGCAAGACAGTGCTTTTCTCTGTGTGAAACAGGCAGCATGGAGAAGGCCTGTGACATCGATGTGGCCTCACCAGTGGGATCTGCTTCCTCTTTCTCTGCACGGTAGCAAAATGAGACTGTCCTGGCTGAAATATGTAAAAAACAAAACCTCTGAGTTTGGAACTTGGAAAATGTAATGTCAAGTCTTTTCTATAACTATATCTATACCAGAGCTGGTATTATTCCTCATATTGTAGTGGACAATCACTGACCAGCAGTTATTCCTGGTTCCTTGAATAAAATGAAAGTGATTTCTGTGTGCATTGATGCTGATTTGCATTGATGGTTTATGTAGGCTATTGGCTAAGGACATGCAATGGGAGTAAATGAGGGCATTAAAACCCTTCTACTTCATAATGTGTTTATCTGAACTCATTTTGAGATATGAAAGGAGTTTGTCTGTATACAGGTGGTGTGTTACAAATACAACGCGGCTGATTGGGCTGCTATGGTGGATTAAATATAATGTGTAATAACCAGTAAATATCAGCGAGCAATAGACTACTGAGCATTTTGAAATATTAATGCGGTTTGTACTCTATATGATAGCAATACCAATACGCTGGATGTATAAGGGGATTGTCTTTACAATTAGCCAACAACTTAAAAAGTATAACAATTATAAATAACAAAAAACATCTACGGAAATCATGCACTATTTGACATATGAATCCTCTTGCTATCATTATAAATTGTATGAGAAACATATAAAAAGGGCCTTTAAAAATCATCCTTTTCAGGATATGTCATTAAACACGCAAATTTGCTGCTGCACAGCAATCCTACTAAACAAAACATTCACAACCTTCTTGGGCTATCAACTTGATAAATAGCCCACCTAACTCCTCAACTAAGATATAGGCTAGGCTATAGATTTAATATCTAACTTTTGCTGAGTGTAACATGAAGTATCTGATGTAGGCTAAGCAGGAAGAAATTTCTTTTTACTAGACTTCCATAACAACACAGCCAAGGCTATGGACAAAGTATAGAAAATTGGATTTGCACTGCACTAAATGCGGACACATTAAGCGAAGCAAAAACGGTGGAACACTGTGGAATTTTTGTCACACTGTAATAAAAATACACAAACATCCACAATCGTTGTGTGTCTATCGTTGTCAATTTAACATGTGGTGGGAAGTCGTTCACATCGGATAGTGTTCATGGTTGGTTAACAATCTGTCACCACTGGGCGCTCGGGAAATGTTTTAACAGCAGCGTCAAGTCGGTAAAAAAAAATATACCAACGGCTTCGCCGCTTTGCCTTCAAAATAAAACGTTTTCATGAGACAAAAACACAAAATACTAAACCAACAAAATGTGTTTTGTGTTCATTTAAGTTAAATGACACGACATGATGAAATGATAAAAATGCTAAATGTTATTATGAAGCTACAATATGGACACAGACCACAAGGCATTTTAGTAACGAGTGACGTTAGTCTAAGTTAGAGGAGTTGAAGAAAGTGAACGTCTCTGCTTAACTTATACCCGTAGGTTTTCCAATTTTGTTATTTCCTTTCTGATTTATATAAAGCTGTGTGTGGCTTATGTGCGTATGACAACTCTGTTTTTACCATAGACTTATTAAAACAATTTTCAAAACGGTTTGTACGTTATGAAAACAGAACCGTTAGGGTTTCCTTTAATTTGAAAGACCACATAACGGGAAGTTATGTTCTCCTTGTTGGGCAGCTTGACACTGTTGGAGGAGTGGATGTAAGTTAGGTGAAACGATTTCAGACAAAGTTGTTTTCGGTGTCTGACAGTACCATGTCAGTATGTATAGCTGCTTTTTGACGGTGGAGAGGCAGCGTTTCCACGATGGCGGTTACCGCGGCACAGGCGTTTCCATGACGGCTAAACTGAAAACTTAGGTAGCAAACTTTGAGCAAGGAGCTGGAATCTTGTCCCAGACTTCCCCCTGTTATCACTACAGAAACTAACGCCACCATGGCACACACTACTTCTTTTTCGACATGGGCATTTGCATTAAGTTTATGCTTCAGCGTGTCCGAGTGTTACTTTTCCATACCACTCAAAATATACACAGGGAAATACAATTTATCCTCGGATGTGGATTTGACTCCTCTCCGGCGAGTCGCGTTAACGTCTGATGCTAACGGCCTCTCTTTGGCCTCTGATCCGACTGGGACAGTGAGCTTCCTGGACATGGTGAACAACTTAGAAGGGGACTCTGGAAGAGGCTACTACATAGAACTGTCCATTGGTACACCTGGCCAAAAGGTAATGTAATGAAATGTTTTTGTGTCACTTGTTTTGGTTTAAGATCTGTATCATTTATACAGGTGAAAATTACTCTAGTATAATTTTTTCTTTTTTAAATTTCCTTTTCCACGCTTTTCCTTTCTTTCGTTTATTCTACGTTCCTTTTCAGTCATTGGATTAATTACGCAAGGTCATGTGTGTCTGCTGTGTGTGTGAACAGGGGCCCCGGACAGCCCACAATGTGATCCACTGAGTGGCCCGAGTGTGTATGTTTCATCCCAGGGCCTTGGCTACTAGGGCTGAACAATTTTGAAAAAATAAAATTGCAATTATTTGGACTGATCACATCACCATAGGCGATATGAGATTCAGGAGAACGAGACAAAAATATCCTTAAATAGTGTTTTAAAGCTATCTTCGATGTGGAGAGATGTGAAATGTTGATCATTAAACACTTAAATTCTGGTCAAATGTTTCTGGACCAATTTATGGTGGAAATGTTTCTATTTATGTAAAAGGAAACACAAAATTCAGGCAACAGGTGACATACATTTTAATAGAATATAAGTCAGTGCAGCTCTTAGTCATTCTGTTGCTGTTGTTCAGATCTGTTTCTCCTGTAGATCAACTTTTCTCACAAAAGTGCACATATGTAGGCATTATTTAGTCTTCCCTCCTCTTTTGTCATGTTCAAAAGGACCGTGTCAATAACTTCTTAAAGTTACTCATTGGTGCATGCTGTTTTTGGATCATTTTATAATCAGTTGCTTGTTTTGTTTTTTTGCGTAAGTTACTTTTTTTGGATAATGCACATTTGTTTCTTCTATATTTTAATTGCATTGCATGTTTTCTTAAGGTGCAAATAAACCTTTCTAAAGGCATTTTCATTTGCTATTTAACAGCAAGCTATATTTCAAAATGTTTTTTAAACAAATTATGCTTTAAAAAAGTGATGGGGACAAAATCAGCCATTTCAAAAAGTGGTGGGGACATGTCCCCAGCGTCCTCAGTGTAAATGGCACCTATGACTGCACCTCCTGCGATATGAAAATTGCAGAAGGTCATATTTCGATAAGATTTTGATTAATTGTTCAGCCCTATTGGCTACCTTTCTATGCACGATCTTATCATTTAGTGTACCTAACTGTTGAATATCACCACCAACAGATAAAAAAAAACAACATTGGTCATGGGAATATAATATTTTATATATATTTTGCTATCACTGTCCTTAAATAAAATCAGCTATTTATTTCCAGGCCTGCCTGGGACCATCATGGCAGGATGGTATCATGGCTGTGGAGTGCAGCAGCTAGCTCAAGTCTTTACAGCCTCGGGGTCTGTAGGTAGACTAAAACCCTGCTCACATGCACTCACATGATGCTGCCTGTGAGGACCACTGTTTCTTACCGGGCAGCTGACGGGGATTATGAGGCTCCCAGGGAGCAAAGAGCAGCCCCAGAGTTGTACAAAACAGCAGTAGCCCTGGTTCGGCACATTTACTGCTTATTTTCTTTTAGTTGCACGGAAATATGGCTGTGTAATTTACTGTCATCGTTTTATACTGTTGCTCTTTATGTAAAGTACCTAACAAGATCATATTAATGATTAAGGGGGACTAAGTGTTCCTGGAAGGGTTGGAAGGAAGGGATTCTCCCGTCACTATTAAAAATACATGACGCTCTAGGGTGTTGTAGGTTTAAGGCTACGCTTTGCCATTTTGTTGTAAGTAGATGTGTTTAAAATGGAGCTTAAACAAAAGGTGAATTATCTCATTAGTGACTTGACCTGTTGTTCCCGGGCCTCTCAAGTTAAACAGATCAGAGCTTTTAAGGCTCTTGGGTGGCACAGCTCAGTTTCTCAGGCTCACAGGGGCTTATCAGTGCTGCCTGCCATGCCACTGCCCTGTGTCAACCTCTGAGAGGATAACATTAAAGCACTTGTCAGAGTACAGTTCCCACACAACTTTACAACTACTCCAAAGCTGTAAAATATACTTAACACCTGCTGTCCTAATGGATGACTAGAAATGAAAAACACAGTTTAAAGTGTTCCTCAAAGGCGGAAATTCCCCAAACTTAATGTATGTTCAGACATTAAGTTTATCATATATTCAAAACAGCTTTTTATTCCTGTGGACCTTCTGCAGGTTGCTTAAGAGAGCAGGTGGTACACATCAAGGGGGCCTCACCTGTTGATTTCTAATACACCTTTTTCACAGCAGACATTTTGACTTTTTTTGTCAGCAGAAAAAGCACAGGCATTTGTTTAGCCCTACTCTCTACACAGCATGAGGCAGCTCATGAGGAAGTAAAGGTTGATGTTTCTGAAGAAATATTACTTTAAATGTTGCACCTGTGGATGATGCTTCTGAGGAAAATATGCTGCAGTTTGCATCGAGCAAATCTTCTGATATCTCAAATGTATCATATTTTATATCTATAAATATGGTACAGAGAGACACCACTGCATCAGAATTGTTGTACTTTACAATTTCTTCAATGTCTTTCGTCTTAGGAGTTATGCGTTATAATGCACAGTATAGGTAGAAGAGACTGTCCCACCTCGTGATATTCCTCCTGCTCTGTGCACAGTTAAACCTTCGTATCACTTATTCATGTCAGTAGAGCTCAATCCACCTTGGTTGAGATTGGTTGTGCAGTGCCAAAATGTCCTATAACGCAATACTGTTGAGTTATACTCTCAATATTATTCCAACTAAATGATGTGATTACAGGGCCGTGGTGTTAAATGAGGCACTATTCAAATGAGCCACTAATTGCAGCATCTGTTAGCATATGGCACAGCCAGGCTGAGGTGTCGGCTGGAGAGCCTCACATCTGCTAATTGGTACAAACAGGTAGCAGATGCACGTTGCCGCCATGGAGCCACTGCCAATTAGGCAGTGAACGCTCAACTGCAGGCAACTGCAGGCTGCCGCAGCAGCGGGAGGAAGAGATTTGCCCGAGGCTCAGCAGCCGAGCTAAGGGAGGATAGAGTGACTAGAAAAGATTGCTAGTGTGGAAATAAGGAAATGCCCCTGCTCCCCTCCTTTACCACGAGGCTCCAGTATTTTCCAATTTAGGCCAGTTTGGGCTTCATGTGAATGGACTGATGCCATCTGCAAGGCAGCAGTGGAGTTTTAGATGGCACAGTTGCAGTGATGGGACCAGGGCCTGTCCAATGAGGTGGAACTGATAAGCCTGACTTCCACGGACGGGCCAGCTGGGGCTTCCTGTGCCTGACTGACACGGTAACACATTGTTGATAATTTCCTCCCAATTGTTTCATAATAACCTCATGCATTTGATGAACAAGCTCTAGTTAGACATGGTTTTGGTGTGATGGGCTCGAGGGCTTGAGGAAGTGGATTTCTTCATGTGACTGTTGGAATTCATTGTTGGCCTGTGAAACCCTTTAACGTTTTAAATAAACAACTTCCTGCTGGTCTGGTCTGTCTAAAAATGTCAGCCACAGAGGAGTGATGTTAGATACTGTTTGTGCCGTGCAGCAGAGCATGCTCAGTAAACACATATTATATATTATAGACATGCATTATACATATTTTCAGAGGCTGTCTCGTGTGACATCATTAAAGAGCCACTGTATAGACCTCATTGTGGTTGAATCATCAGGTGCGTTAGGTTTATGACTCCCTGAGGGTGAGGAATGCTTGCTATTGAGTGTTAATGTGGCCCCTGCTCAGTAGAGGAGGTGACAGAAGTCTGCTAGCTAATTAGTTCCTGCTCGCTGATTTGATGCCTGGAAGACAACATTATCTCAACTGCTGTTGGCTGGTCCCAACTGTGCACATGACACATGCCAGGCAGGATAGGTCATGTCAGTAGCTAGAGGCTGTCATGTTTGACTCATAGATCACACATTATAGAGCAATTATATTAGACATGCATTGTCATTTTTTCTTTTTACACCACTTTGTGTGACTTTGGGATCTCTAGACATTATGGATAACCCAGTCAGGGTTTTGTTGTAATCAAGCCAAGTTCATAATCCAGTGATGTTTGCATATGATAATGCAGCTGTACAGTGCACCTTTCAAGTCAGTTTAAAGTAAAACATTTTACTTAAAGAAACAATGGCCAAAAAGTGCTTGTTTATACCGCCTCAAGAAGAAACAGTGTCTGTTGCTTTTAATAATTATTACACAGCACACATTTTAGCTGCTTGTAGACTTTGACATTGTTATTAAGTTGTGGATAATGTCCATTTATAAGGCATATGTGTCACTATAAAAGCATACCAGTGGATTAAAGCGTGTCTTTCAGATTTTTTTGTCTGTATTGTGTATGTTCTTATGTTCTCTCTCTCATTATAATCCAGTTTAACTTCTTTATCATTTTTGTGTTTTATATTTACTGTAAGGGATTTTGTCGTTCTCACTCTATGTCGTCTCTCTTCTTCTGCGTTTTCCTCCTGTAATTATTATTAATATTAGTACGGAGACTTTAATGCCTTAGTTGCATTTTAAAAGCTTAAAGTCTGCTTATTAATGTATCACATTGTTCAACAGCTGTCTTTTTTACCCTGTGACTCAGGAGGTCTGTGAGTTAGGGTGGGGTTGGCTTGTATCAGATAACTGTAATAGTCATTAAAGAAAACCCTGCCTTGTGTTTTACAGCTAAACATCCTGGTGGATACAGGCAGCAGCAACTTTGCCGTGGCTGCTGCTCCACACCCATTCATTACTCACTACTTCAACACAGAACTGTGAGTGGCTGTAATCCGGCTCCTGGAAATGTCAATATTTAGATAGATTTTTCTTGTCTGCTCTGACAGAGGCAGAATTTATTAATAAAATTGATCAGAGATTGTAGCTTTTTCACAGAAAGAATAGTCTTCCCTAGTAGTTCTTTACTCATTTATAACACAATCTTTCCTCTGTAAATAATTTATAAGTTTTTGCATAAGAACATTTACATTTGTTTTAAAGTGGTTGATCGGTCCCACCTCTCCCTAGTTCCTAGCCCTAGTTCAGTTGAGGTAGCCCCTTTGTTACAGTCCAAGTCCTAAGTTAACACAAATTTTATAACTATTGATACGTCTTTGCTTCCTCCCCTGTGTTTAGCTCCAGTACTTACGAGTCAGTCGGCCGGACAGTGGCTGTTAGGTACACCCAGGGTAACTGGGAAGGTGAACTGGGCATTGATCGTGTTTCCATCCCCAAAGGCCCAAATGGGACCATCATCACCAACATAGCTGCCATCCTGTCATCTGACGGCTTCTTCCTTCCTGGGATCAACTGGCAGGGAATCCTGGGACTGGCCTATCCCATGTTGGCACGGGTGAGAGAGATGCGTTATGTAAACCTTAGATAGCACCATTAGTAGAAAAGGCTTCCACTCCCCTTTCACTGATTTTACTGCTAGCTGGGTGTGACGTTGCGTATCAAAAAAGCAGATTCATTCAACAACAAAAAGGAAACATAATGAAAAATAAGAACAAAAAGTGTTTCTGGGACCCGGACACATTGGTGTGTCATCAAAATTAGCAAAGAAGTGAAATGTAGATATCAGAAAAATGTGCTACTTGATAATATCAGGTTTTATCATGTTAATCAAACAGTAATGCATAATTTATTTTTTACAGCACTGAATAACAGATCTTATCTGGATGTAGTCACGGACATTTCACATGACAACAGAAAAGTTTCATATTCATGATTTATTTTCAGCTGCCATGGGTGTGATGCTTTTTGCGTAATCAAGTTTTTTTTTTTTTTAATCTACTTTACACCTTCAGTTTCAGACAAGAGTTCAACAACTCAAAAGAATTAGCCAGCATATTGTACATAATCAGTAAATTAGTCCGTTTAATCCAGTAACAAGAACATCCTATGTGCGAGTGACAGAGGCACAGAACCAAGATGTTTCAGCCAGTGTCTGCGTTCTTTAGGTGGTAATTTGGTGTCAGCGCACACTGGCACAATTCGTTCTTTCATTCTGTGCTGACTACAGCAACCTTTGGGGTTCAAATGCCAATGATTGAGGGGCAGATATGCTCACACTCACCACTTTGTGCAACTGGTGAGTCCTGAGAGTTCAGGTTTGTCACGTATGACGTGATAACACAGCACTGACATGGAAACCCGGAGAGAAGGAGAGACTCTGCTCCCAGTGCGACAGAGGACAGGTAGAGACAGAGCTGCATTTTCTAATCTCATGTCCTAAATATAAAACCTTAAGGGAAAAACATTTCCCAAATATGCCACGAACTGAGGACAGGCAGTGGAGACTAGACTGATAAATAACCCATGAGCAGTTGAGAGTTTTTGAGCAGTTGAACCCATGAACCATAAAATACTTCATGGGTCTATTTGTTTGTTTATTTTTTACATTTCACATTTGATACTTGATTTTTTCCCCCTCCTTTAGAACTAACTTTATGTTATTGGTTGTCTATACTTTGGCAAAAGAAAATAAAAGTACACCTAGTCCGTCTTGGTAATCTCACAAACTAAAAGCTTATAAATAAGCATGTAAAAGATCACATTGATGAACACGGGTTAATGATGACACATCTCCTGTCTCTTAATTAGCCCGACATGTCTGTGGAGCCCTTCTTCAATTCTTTGGTGCAACAAATGGGAATTCCTGACATCTTTTCCCTCCAGATGTGTGGCGCTGGACTGTCAGCCAGCAGCACAGCAGACCCAGCGGGAGGCAGTCTTGTGAGTAGTCAGGAGGGGCTGCCTGGGGAGGAGTTTGATCAAATGAACATGGCAAATAAGCTTTGTTCTGTAAAGACACTTTTAATATTTATATATGATCTCTGCCTCTAATTCTGTATTTTTGTGATGCAGTTTGTGTCTGGACTTGTTTAATACGTGCAGCCTCAATTATGTGCTTCACTCATACTTTTTTTTCACTGTTTGTCACTCTTCACAGACAAAATAAAATCCTTCACTAGTGGATCAGACATCACAGCAGAGTGCACGATTATAGAAACATAATAGCTGGTATCTTCCTTGTCAATGTGGTTTCTCCATCGGAGGCCCAGTCTAGTTAGAGTGAAGCTAATTAAGCTAAGATGGTATCCTGCTGAGAGCAGGTCTGTCACTGTTATACGAACGGCCTCTGTCCCTCGCTCACTGCATCTCCATCATATGACCCAATGATAGAGACAGATGGTTAAGATGGCTGTGTGTGTGTGTGAGTGGGTAGGGTATGTATCCTTCCAAAATGTGGAGGGATAAAACCTTTGCTACTCTCTAGTTGGATATTCACTGTGTTGTTGTTGAACCATAGACGGGTGAGGTATATTTCTTCCTTCCTCAGATCATGGGAGGGGTTGAACCAACGTTGTACCGGGGGTCAGTGTGGTACACCCCTATAGTAGAGGAGTGGTACTACCAAGTGGAGATTTTGAAGTTGGAGGTTGGAGACCAGAATCTGGAACTGGACTGCAGAGAGGTAAACTTCACACTGCATTGTTGCGTTAAACACCACTCACCACCATGATGGTCAGTAAATGCTAGTAATTATATCATTTATGTTTGAAGCAGAACGGAAGCGCTGGTCGTACAACATTCATTCTTGAGGAGTTGATTATATTAAGGTTACAATACAGAAATGAAACAGAATCTGAGCAGCAGTGCTGCAAGGGAATGTAATCCTTGTTTTCTGCTTTTTTGTTTGCTCAAGGACTTCCATAGGAGCCAGTTGAACTGAGAAACTGCACTTCACTCTGTCTCCCTTTCTTTCAGTATAACATGGATAAAGCTATAGTTGACAGTGGGACGACACTGCTGCGTCTTCCTGTCAACGTCTTCAATGCGGTGGTAGAAGCCATCAAACACAGCTCTCTGGTACGCTGACGTTTCTCCACAGGCAATGATGAAACATGTTGTCAGAGCAAAGAGATTCAGGGCAGGATAGCACACACTCACTGTTCAAGGACATAGTAGCTTTGAGAGGAAGGATCAGGAGTTTTTCTGCTGTAAAAATATGTTTGTGTGCCCATGCTTTGGTTTATCTATTTGGGTTTTTTTTTAATCCAATCCTACATTACACATTTTTCGCACACAAACAGCACTCAAGGTTAATCTCAACCTAGAAGCAACGTTTTCAATTAATGTACCAACATCCTTGCAGATTATTCCCAAGTGGGAAAATGAAAGCGAGCAACACAACCTGTTTTGGTGCTGTACTGACCTTCTGTTTCTGTCTCTTTGACTGTTTCTCTGGTTCAGATCCAGGATTTTTCTTCAGGGTTCTGGGATGGCACAAAGCTTGCATGCTGGATGAAGGGAGAGACCCCCTGGAAGTTTTTCCCCAAGCTGTCCATCTACCTAAGGGCCACAAACAACAGCCAGTCCTTCCGCATCACCATCCTGCCTCAGGTAGCTGGATAAACACAAAAGTCATCCCCTCCCAAGAGCTTCTCTGTCAACAAGACACAAACACTTATTGGTCCTCATTCTTCTGTCGTCTTGCAGCTGTATATCCAGCTAATCGCAGACGTGGATGGCACGTTAGACTGCTTCCGTTTTGGAGTGTCTTCATCAGCTAACGGCCTGGTGATCGGCGCCACTGTTATGGAAGGCTTCTACGTGATGTTCGACCGCGCTCAACAGAGACTGGGCTTCGCACTCAGCAGCTGTGCCGGTAAATATAAGACTGTTACTATGAAGGAACTGTATGTTAAACATATATTGTCATGTGTCCAAACACTGTAAGTTAATTTTAACAAATGAGTTCACTGAGTATCTTAAAACATTGGTTTGGATAGTAATCCGCTAACAAGAGACAGGATTTGTGCATCAAGTTCTACAGATTATAATACCCATATTATCAACCTTGTGATAGCATTTTGCATGTGGTTTAAAATATGTGTTGCCACTCTGTCTACTATTTTTATTGTGTCTATGTATGAAGCTCTGAACTTGATCATTAACAGCAGAAATGACACAGAAGTTTGCGCAAACAGGGCTTTAATCATACTAGTCAAATCTTAGTGTATATATTAAAGCCTTTATGAAAGGGCTATAGGTTAAATTCCTTTTGTATGGTTTCATCTTTATTCAGCTACAGCAGATATTGCTGATGAAATTGCTTTAAGACATTTAACTTTTAACAGGGAAAGAAAAATCATAGTCCAGGAGTCTGTAAAGTGCCTTGATTAATCGATAACTTACAGAAATGTAAACTGTAAGTTGTGCAATGTACCATTTTACAACTACTTGCAGGGTCACTGACCAAGACCTTATGATTAACCCGTTCAGCAGGACCTAAACAGCAAATGTTAAACCTTAAACAGGGCTACTTCCCTATGTGTAAATATGAGCTTGGGCAAGACTTCTTACTCTCATCTAAGTACAAAGATCACTTTTGTTCTGTATTAACCAGACTTGAAGCAGATGTAGGCTGAAGGTTAAAGATGCAGGCTTGTGACAGTAGGGTTGCTAGCTCTAATTCCTCAGTTGGGTTGTAAAAATTAGACAGAGAAAACTCTCAGCTGCTGATGAGTTGCCCTTGAGTAAAGCAAATAACCTTAAATTACTTTGACGTTGCTGCTCAGTTGCTGCCAGTCAAACATTTGCTTTAAGAAGCTGCCATGAGTAAATCGACATCTAAGCTTAATCACAGTACAGTTGACATTTGTTATCTGTAATAAGCATTTGTTCATCATCAGGTAAAGCATAGACTTCTCTTCCTTATAATAATCTTAAATCAAAAAACTTTATAGCTACTTTTTAAAGGGTCATTTGGTTTAATTCTTCTTCCATTCAGAAATGAGGTCTGCAACTATCTGTGTTGTGCTTCTCTGCAGTGAGCGGTGAAGTGGCTCTGTCAGAGATCGCAGGGCCCTTCTCGGCAGCAGACGTGGCGTCCAACTGCTCGGGCGGGACGGTGAAGGAGCCTTTTATGTGGGTGATCGCCTACTCCCTGATGGCAGTCTGTGCCTTGGTGCTCATCATCCTGTTTCTTCTGCTGGTCCTACCCTGCCGAAGCAGAGACAGCTCCGGGGAGATTACCGACGAGTCCTCGCTGGTCCGGCACCGCATCAAGTGACTGAGAGGAAATGGGCAGGCGGACAGGGTGAACGGGCAGGGGGACAGCGAGGACAGCCCATCCGCAGCAGTGGAGAAAGGGGTGAGGCTCGGCCTGCACCGAACAGTGACACTCGGCTCTGAATGTCTGACTGACTCTAGACTGTACTCATCAGGTTGCCCCACAGAGGTAGACGCAGACAGATAAACTGCCTCTTGAAGGGAAAATCCCGCCTGAAGACACATCTTAAAAACAGCTGTTGGTGAAGCATTCATGGTGCCAATGTCTTGTTTGTTGACATATCTTTCTTATTCTCAAATAATTGGTTATATCATCAGACGAACAGGTGCACTTTCTCCACTGAGTGTAGCTTTAAATGTTTATAATGCCATGTGGCTACAGGGCAGTTTTTAGTCCTGATTTACCTTTTCTCAACTGGAAAGACACGACAACTATTGATGCACTGAACAGTTGAAAAGTTGTTTTTTTCCAGGCAAACTGTATTATTAATTTGTCTTAAAATGTGCCTTTACAGTTGATAATCTGCAACCAACTGTTGTAACCCAACTCTGTGATCAGTGAAGGAATGTTTCTAGTGCCTCCATATATTGTTGAAGTAAAGGGGAAAAGCTGCTCAAACTATCAATGTTAATAGGAAGAATATTGCTAGAGGTTACACACGTTTACAGTGCCTGTGTCAGCTCACCGCTTATACAGATTGATATACAGTATCAGCAGTTTGAGACTTACTCTGCTGAATTGCACTTTGTTTCAGTCAAAAGTGTAATAGGATTCTAAAGATCAATATTTCAGTCTCTTTGTAATTTGTATTATTACAATTATTTTCCTTTTAGACACTAGATGCTGAATGGTACATATGTATTCTGCACATTTTATACAAACACTAAATTAGAAGCCAAAGGATTTTTGAAACTGAAACACATGATCCTCCCGCGGACTCCAGTGAGCTTTTTTAGCAAAGCAGACTGACCTGTTAGCAAGAAAAACGTAGTCTCTTTACACTAGTGACATCTTCATATGTAAAAGTCAGGGCATAAAACGTGCTCCTCCGCTGAGCCTGTGCTGCACAATCAATCTGAAATATGTGCTTGTTGGTTCTGACCAGAGGATCAGCTGTAGAGGTACACTTGAATCTTTGAATGTTCACATAATTTGCCTGTGCCAAAATTGTACTTGTGACCAAATCAAAGGTGTAAATCATTTTAAATGAATAAATATTTCTTTTTGTGAAAGGTTACTCAGGAACAGTGCGTCCTTTGGGAGTCAGTGGGAACAGGCTTTGATGTGGTTTGTGAGTGACATCTTGTGTTGACACACGGAATCTCCATTTACTGGCTCAATTATCACTATTAATTCAATGGTAATTTTCAATCATAGTTATACAGACTAAAAGAAGGACTTTATGTAATCTACATAAATTGCAAAAACAAAAAACCAACAACGTATAGATATCATATGAGAACAACTTATTACATGAATGTAGGCAAAACCAAAATTTGCATCAACAGTTTAAATTATGAAGACACAGAACAGTATTAACATGTAGGAAATAAATTATGTTAGTGATACGGATACTCCAGATATAATATATATATATAATATCTCTGCACACTTGAACACAAAATGTAAGCAAACATCTTCATCTTTGGTCCGGCCATCTTGATGCTTCTGTAAACACAAACACTATTGGTTTTGTGTTACATGTGATAATTTGTGTTTTGTAAAAGTTAAAGCGAAGGGGTAAATAGTGTACATTGTTATCATGAAGCAGCTGTCTCACTTCAGTATGAATAGCTAAAGATTAACAAACTCGTTTTAATAGTAATGCTGTAGCTAATTACTTTTTTTGTGGCTAATTTGCGTGTGTGTGTGTATTTTCTATCAATTAATGTTAAATAATAAAACCCATTTCAAATCAATTCTTACTGCATATCCAGCATGAGTCAAGCGCCAGACAGATAAACCTTATTGCATCTGGTCCTCAAAGCAGATTAAATCCAATGCTATGAATTATCTGGAAATCCTTATTTTGTTTGCTGATCTGCCTTTACAATCCTTTTTTTTTTTTACCCTCATCTGATGGTGGATCCAGTCGGGAAAATGGGTGGCAGTGCCATAAACAGCTGGTTTGTTATGCTTAGTGCAATATTCCCTCCCAAATTCTGTCCCCTCTGAGACACCATACTCCATTCTTCAGGGACACCAGAGGGATGTCAGTGTCCGAAAGATTCAGCACAAATTGAAGAGAATTTTTATGAACTGCACCCTCTGGACGATCCATATAACACTTATCAAGATTCTCACATTCAAGCTGAAGCGCTTTACAATGATTTCAAATTGAAACACTAACTGTTATTCATTCAGTTTAAGACCTTTCAGTGATTTATAAGCTCCATGAAAAGCATTAGTGTAACTAAAACGGTCAGCTGCCGCTGCAGTGCTCGAACGTTACATTCATTGTTGACTGTATAAATGGTTTATTATAAGTCACAAAGTGGAACTGCTTGTTTAAAAAGCTGTTACCATGTACAGAACATAGTGCATGTCTTGTTTGACTATCCCTCAAAGCAAGTTACATAAGAGCATGAAAATCACTTTCTTTCAAGAACAGAAACTATTTTTATGTTGCTGCTCAATTTGTGCGAGAAAAACTGAATTGTAACAGAAAATCTCATTAAAAGAGTGTTTGTTGCTGCTCATGTGAACACAGATTTCTTTGAGGACATTGCTCTATAGGATCACTATTTGCAGCCTGAACACAGAAGCCCTGCAGGCAGCGGACCAGTGTGGCGGCAGTCACATGACAACCATCCTGTATTCATCATACAATAAAACAAACTGCACTTTATGACATGTTTTAATATGTGTCTGTTTATGTCATTAATAAAAGAAAATGTGTATTAGTGTTGTTTTCAGTATTTCATTTTTTTCACTTTGACACCTCTTAGAGAAAAAAAGTGTGTGTCACTGGTTTATCTTACATGTCGGCTACAGAGACTGTCTAATAACAAAAAGAACTCATTTAATTCAAGTCATTTTAGTATATGTTCATTTACATTCTATTTAAATAAGATCACTAGTAAGAGTTCAAGTCAATGGGGGCCATCCAGTGGTAGCACACACAGTGGTAGACACTATAGCAGACAGCCGCGATCTTTAAACACTTCAAAAGTAAATATCTACTTTGAACTTTGTGTTCTGATTTCTTGTATTTACAAGTTTCTTTTCCTTTAATTCACAACACTGGATGTAGTTATACTGACACGTGTTTCTATTACTTTGTCCACCCTATTTATACCACTGTAAGACAAAACATAAGCACCTCTCTGTACAGTACAACACAGTTCAACAGCACCACAAAGTACATCCTAGTTTTAGCTAGTTGCTAAACTGGCAACTGAGTGTATATGAGGGATATACCATATGTGTTATGTTATTACTCAAACTACAGTAACTGACCACACTTGTGAAGAGATTTAAGTTCTGCAAACTGGAAAACAGGCTACCGGGAAACGTGTTAAGATGGGATAAACTTTGCAGAGTGTGGCTCTGTTCATTTTGTATATGTCTTGCATCCCCTGTGTATGTCAATCTGTCTATAAGCACCTCTGATGTCCAAAGGTTTACAGCGCATCATAGAGCCATGTCATTCCTGCAAGTGAGACCTTTGCAGCCTTCATGGGCCATGATGCAGCACATAGAGTAAGCAGGGTTAAACAGAGTGACTAATGGATTCATTATACCAGCGTACACTGCCATGTATCCAGGGCTGGAGTCCCTGAAGGGGAGAGAGACAGTAGAGAGAAGATTCAAGCTTGATCAGACCACAACCACTAAAGTGAGATGAAAAGACCTCACCTGGCCCCACAGTGTGTTGCAGTGACTGTCCATTAGGGGGAGATGATTGCTTCTTCACAGCAGTGGGAGCCCGCCACCTGAAGGCTGACTGACCAGGCCCCTAGGGACCCCCAGAGGCCCTGCTGGATTTCACCCCTCTCACAATCTGAGGACAAAACTGCTGTTATAGAGGACGCATTTCATTACTACAGGGCTTTAACAAGCAGATCACAACTACATGTACCACCACAGTCAAAGTGTAAAGACATACAGGACAATGAACTCATAATTAAAGTGTTGTCATGAGGGCAGGCATTCATTAATGTGGCCTTTATGAGCAAATTGGACATCTAAATGTTTGTTTTTTTGATAGAATTTTTGGTAAAAATCACTGGAGAAGCTCACATGCATGGACAAATATAGTTATAAATGAAACAGATAAGAATATCCTACAAAAAATTACTTAAACCTGGAAGCATCTTGAGAGACACATCAAAGCATCAGGCTTTTTAAATATCTTTTTCACACTGAATTTGGTGTGGTCATAAGAAACATGAACAAGGAGATTAAAGCGGTACAGAGAACGATCAGTCCTGCTTACAAAATGTTCCAATATCTGTCTTTAGACATTTATTACTTAAGATCCAATCCCAATATTCAGCCACCCCTTTATGTCATATACCTACAACCTCATGACTGCAGAAGTAGATAAATACAAAATTGATTTGTTGAATGTGTAATAACACACCATTACAACACAATGTCACTGCAATGTTGTTGGGACAGACATTTGGCAAAAAAAAGAGATTTTTGGTAGAATTAGTGTCATATTCATTTATTTAGTGTTAACGACTTTTTACTGGTTTATCTTTACCATTTTCACTAACCTGAGCACAAACTTCTGCTGTATGGACGCCTCAAGGTTGAAGTCAGACTGCACTGTGCCCCTGACAAAACATGCACTGGAAACAACAATTGCATTTTAACACATACATTCACACATCAGAATATAGAGAAAACAGTTTGAAATTCAATATGCAGTGAAACACAGGAGCATCTTACCTGCTGTGTGTCCAATATGCTGGCAGCTTGCTCTCCCATGCTGGTCGCTGCAGCCCATCAAATTTTTACTCCAAGGTGAGAAGATATGGGAAACTGGAAACTGGAACCGTGCAGGCTCAAAAACAACAAACACAAACACTGTCTTGATATTTTGTTACAAGCAGGTGAAGAGAGCAGCCAGGAGCAGACCTAGTGTAACATGCACAGAGGGCTGCCAGTTAACAACAACAACAGCAACAACAACGGTGGTGTCTGAAGTACATTTAAATGCAAATGAATACAAAATCCTAAGCAGTCTTCACTTGAAGTACCTAGATGCAATTTCACAGATGTTCTGACACTTATCATATTACAACCATTTACATTATATTAATGTCTAAATGTGTATAAGGGATTTATTTATAACATCATAACACAACTACATAAAGCTGACAAATACAGGCACAGAACATTTATGTAATCTTCTCTAAAATGATATTAAGGTGATCCTTTTAGCTGTAAAAGAGTGTAGACTGCGCTTTATAAGTATGAAGGTGAGTGAACAGATTGCAGGATTTCTCAAGTGGGTTTCATCCTCCACATTGGCCTCCTGGATGAGGTTTGTTTACTGCAGTGAGCGTCAGCCTGGCCTGCAGGATGGTCAGTTGCTGGGACTCCCACACACAGCTCCCATCACCACAGGACGAGGAAACTGGGAGACAAGGCGAGACAGAGGTGTGATAATCCCACACTGTGTGTATTCAAGGTTCAGTTCACGTAAAGGTTGAAATAGTGTACGAGTTGTTAGAGTGAACAGTTGGGATAAATCCTGCGCTCAATAAGCGAGGAGGACTCCAGCCACCAGCAGAAAGAGCAGCAGGCAGATCACGGCAGCCACAGGGAACTTCACACACCTCTGTTACATCTGACAGGTCAACACACACTGTGACTGGAAACCCATTTACACTCACCTTACCCACTTGTTAAATGCATTTAATAAATGCATCTTTTCAGCCAGGTTTATCTAATTTAATTAGAACAGAAATTACTGCTGTTTGAGACATTTACTTTAAGCAGAATCTTTTAAAGTAATAACATTTGTATTTTTAATCATAATGTAAAACAATGGCTGTCCTCAATATGGAAATCAAAATTAAATATTAGCCCTGTAAAGCCTGAACCATCAAATGATTGCCAGAAAATTCTAATTTTTTGAATATGGAGTGGTTATTATATCTAGTGCCAAATTTAAAAAATCTTTTTTTTTAATAGCCCTTTGCACGTATGAGGTTTTTTTGTATCATATTTGATAAATTCAGACTTTATTGCATTGTTTTGCCAACATCATGTTTCTTTAAGACAACAAAAAAACATGCAGAGCATGTTTTAAGCCTTTTATCAGCAGCAGCATCATCATCTTTTAGAACTAACTCTAAATGCCATCCATAATCGTGATATCTTCAATGGTGTACTTTTTTTGCCATTTAAAAAATACAAACCAAACTCAATTCACTTTACTAAAAAAATAATTTTGATTTAAAATCAATGACCAAAAGATAATTATTATGAAGTGAGTCTTGGAAACATCCAATTAGACATTTAGCATTTGGATACAACAGGAAAATACAATATAGGCTGCAAAATTTCTCTAAATACACCTAATTATGCCTTTAATAGGTTTACTTAAATAATTAAAAGAGTGTATGCATCTTAATAGAATGCATAATGAAGGATATGCAATAAACTATGATTTTATACAAATGTATACATAAATTACCTTATATACCTGCTGTAGATAATTTGCTACACACATTTTCAACACGATTTTACTATAAAATAAGTTATGAAATATTAAGTAACTATACATTGCTTCAATCCAGTAAATATTCATATTGAAGTATCCAAAACAATTTGAATGTTTTTCTCACCTTAACTCCTTCAAAATTGGCAAAAGTTTCCTTGCAAAACCACCAGTAGGTCACCGATTGACAACCACCATTTTGGCTGTCTCAATTGAAGGACCTATGTAGGAGGAATTTTGGCCCGG